GGTGTGTGTGTGCGCGCTGTGTGAGCGTCTATGTGTGTGTGTCTGGGGGAGCCGAGGGGGACGTGGGGGCGAAGCACAACCGGCCATGGCAGCAGCGGAGGACGAGGACGGGGGCCCCGAAGGCCCAAACCGCGAGCGGGGCGGGGCGGGCGCGACCTTCGAATGTAATATTTGTCTGGAGACCGCTCGCGAGGCTGTGGTCAGCGTGTGCGGACACCTGTACTGGTGAGGGCCGCGCGGGGCGCGGGAGGGAGGGAGGGTGGGTGTGCAGAGGGCAGAGGGCAGAGGGCAGAGGGCAGCCGTCCGTCACACACGGGCACAGACACAGACACGCACACACGTACACATATATACATACATACACACAGACACGCACACACATATATACATACATACACACAGACACGCTCACAGACACAGACACGCACACACGTACACATATATACACACATACACACAGACACGCACACAGACACAGACACGCTCACAGACACAGACACGCACACACATATACATACACACACATACACACAGACACGCACACACTTATATACATACATACACACAGACACGCACACACATATACATACACACACACGCACACACTTATATACATACATACACGTACACACAGACATGCACACAGACACAGACACGCACACACGTACACTTACTTATATACATACATACACACAGACACGCTCACACGTATACATACATACACGTACACACAGACACGCACACACATACATACACGTACACACAGACACGCTCACACGTATATACATACACACACAGACACGCACACACTTATATACATACATACACATACACACAGACACGCACACAGACACAGACACGCACACACGTACACATATATACATACATACACGTACACACAGACACGCTCACACATATATACATACATACACACAGACACACAGACACATACACATATGTACACATACACACAGACACGCACACACATATATACATACATACATGTACACACAGACACGTTCACACATACATACATACACAGACACAGACACACATACATACACACAGACACGCACACACATATATACATACACACACAGACACGCTCACACATACACGTACACATACATACATACACATACATACACAAGACACACAGACACACACTCACAGACACACATATACATACACACACAGACACGCTCACACACATATATACACATACAGACACACGCTCACACAGACACACACTCACACACACCACACAGGCGCACACCCGGGAGGCCTGAGGTGGGCACTGGGGTCCCGGTGTGGGGAAAGCAGGGTGTCGGGAGGGGGTGGGGTGGGAGCGGGGACGCTGAGGTGTGGCCGAGCCCGAGGTTGACACAAACACACAGGACAGACTTTCCGGTCAGGGGAGCTGCTCCTCGTCAGAGGACGGCCGGACACAGGGACTGTGTGTGTGTCTGTGTGCTTGTGTGACAGAGTGTGTGCGTACGTGAGAGGGGTGTGAAGCCGGAGGGCAGAGGCCCTGTGAAGGGCAGACAGACAGAGGGACTTTGGCGCCTGATGTGACAGGAGGAGCAGCAGGGCTGTAAGGGAGGACGGAGCGGGGGCTGAAGAGAACCCTGTTGAGTTGGGAAATCAGGGTAAGAGGCAGAAAATAGACAGGCTGAGGCAGGGAGGTGCGCGCGCGTGTGTCACTGTGTGTGTGTCAGTGTGTGTGTGTGTATGTGCATGTGTGTGTGTGCGTGTGTCAGTGTGTGTGTCAGTGTGTGTCAGTGTGTGTGTGTATGTGCATGTGTGTCACTGTGTGTGTGTCAGTGTGTGTGTGTCAGTGTGTGTATGTGCGTGTGTGTGTGCGTGTGTGTGTGACACTGTGTGTGTGTCTGTGTGTGTGCGCGCGCGTGTGTGTCACTGTGTGTCTGCTGCGTGTGTGTGTGTGTGTGTGTGTGTGTGTGTGTGTGTGTGTCACTCTGTGTGCGTGTCTGTCAGTGTGTGTGTCACTGTGTGTGTGTCACTGTGTGTCAGTGTGTGTCACTGTGTGTGTGTCAGTGTGTGTGTGTGTGTCACTGTGTGTCACTGTGTGTCACTGTGTGTGTCAGTGTGTGTGCGTGTGTGTCAGTGTGTGTGAGTGTCAGTGTGTGTGTCTGTGTGTGTGTGCGTGTCTGTCAGTGTGTGTGTCACTGTGTGTGTGTCACTGTGTGTGTCAGTGTGTGTCACTGTGTGTGTCAGTGTGTGTGCGTGTGTGTCACTGTGTGTGTCACTGTGTGTGTGTCAGTGTGTGTGTGTGTGTGTCACTGTGTGTGTCACTGTGTGTGTGTCAGTGTGTGTGTGTGTGTGTCACTGTGTGTGTGCAGACAGAGGGAGGGAGGGAGCAGAAACAATGTGTTGCACGGGAGAAGCCTGGGGCCCTGGGGACGAGGGCTGTTGTCGGGAGGGCTGTTGTCAGGAGGACGGTTGTTGGGAGAGCGGTTGTCGGAGAGCGGTTGTCGGCAGGATGGTTGTCGGGAGGACGGTTGTCAGGATGCCCTCGGTGACCGCAGGCTGTGGAGGCAGAAACAGCCGCAGTACCGGGGCGGCTGCTGCAGTGGGCACAGGGTGCCGGCTGTTTTCTGCCATGTGATGAGTTTTGTTTCTCTCCTCCTCCGTGTGCAGCTGGCCCTGTCTTCATCAGGTATGTGCTCCTGTGCTCCTGACATGGGCGGGGAGGGCGGGGAGGGCTCCACGACCTTCGTGTGTCTGCAAACACTTTGTCTTTCCCGCAGTGGCTGGAGACGCGGCCAGACCGGCAAGAGTGCCCCGTGTGTAAAGCCGGCATCAGCAGGGACACAGTCGTCCCTCTCTACGGCCGCGGCAGCCACAAGCCGCAGGACCCCAGGTGAGAGACTGCACGCATTGCCTCCTGCCCATGTCCCCCATGTCCTGGGAGAGGGACACACGTGCTGATCCCCTCTCTCCTTCCTCAGACTGAAAACTCCACCGCGCCCTCAGGGCCAGCGACCCGCCCCGGAGAGCAGAGGGGTGAGTGTCCCTGCAGAGCCAGAGCCCGAGTGGCGTGGCATGCCGTGGCTGGCGTGGCATGCTGTGGTGTGGCGGGGTTTCCCTCAGACTCCCTGCCTCCCCAGGGGTTCCAGCCGTTCGGGGACACCGGGGGCTTCCACTTCTCATTTGGTGTCGGTGCTTTTCCCTTTGGCTTTTTCACCACCGTGTTCAATGCCCACGAGCCTTTCCGGCGGGGAGCAGGTAAGAGCTTTCTTTCCCTGAGTCCCGGCCAGGGCCACCCCCCCCCAGCGCCCCCGACATGTCCTTTCTCCTGCAGGTGTGGATCTGGGACAGGGTCACCCCGTCTCCAGCTGGCAAGACTCCCTGTTCCTGTTTCTCGCCATCTTCTTCTTTTTCTGGCTGCTCAGTATTTGAGCTGTGTCTCCCCTGCCCACCTCCAGCTAGAGGAGAATCAGTATTGGGGTCCCTGCTGGCCCCGCCTTGCTTTTGGACCACCCCTCACTCCCATGACCTATGTCTGTTAGCTGAGGCCTCCCTCAGGGGGCAGTGGGAAGGAGTGACGAGTGAGCCTGGGTCGGGAGTGCCTGCGGCTCTGCCCTGCTGGCCTGGAGGCACAGCCATCCCCGCCCTGAAGGGGGACACCCTGGAGACAGGGGCCCAGTTCTCCTTTGTCCCCCCCCCCAGACTTCTTGATTGGATGTTTAAAGGTGGGCTTTCCCCGACTCCTCCACTTGTTGATTTAATTTAATTTTCCTCTCCCCACTGTCTGATATGAGTTCTGACTCTAATTGTGTCCTTTCCGCCCCTGGCTACCTCCTTTATTACAAATTCAATAAAAAAAATGAAATATATTGTTGGGAAGTCTCCCCAATCCTTCCCTTCTTCCTGGACAGGCACCTCTTCCATCCAGCCTGAATAGATGCTCGGTATGGTGGGAGGCGTGCAGTGAGCCCCTCCCCTGCAGGGCTCCCAGGGATGCAGGGGTGAGGTTGCTTCTCTCACACACAGACAACAGTAGGCAACGAGTGTTAGGTGTTTACTCAGCATGGGTTGGGTGGGCTCTGCTTGTGGAAGTGTGCTGAGGTGGAGAAGGGCTCATACATGGGTCGTGGGGCCAGCGCAACTCAGGAAGCAATGTGAACGCGCTCTGGGCTCGGCTAAGGTCCTCCTGCACCGTTCTCTGCTGCGTCGGCGTCCTCTGACTGATTGAGCTCTGCGCGTTCCTCCTCGTCCTGCGGGTTTTCGGGGGCCTTCCTGAGAAGGAACAGTTTTCTAGCCTTCTGCTGGCCACCCCGACAGCTCTCACTTGCTGCCTGGAAGCCCCCAGTAAGTGTCTTTGGCTCACCTCTCCTCTCCTCTGGATTGCCGTTTTCTCCACAGGATGGCCCCAATGAGTAGGGTGGCTATTCCCAGGCCTCCCAGGATCCCCAGGGCCAGGGCTAGCATTCCCAGCCCAGACCCACCCACAGAGCCTGTAGGGACACAGGGAGGACACAGCTCCAGCACACGCCACTCCTCCCCTGTTGACTGTACACCAGTCACCAGCACGTGCCGCGGTCATACACCTCCCTCTGACTTTAGTCCAGCCCCTCACCTGCAGCTGGCCCCTCCTCGCCTGTTTCTGGAAGACAAAGAGTAGTCTGAGGGAAGACTTGAGCTTGGGTGGGGCTGCCCAGTGGGAGGCCCAGTGGCATCTCCCTTCAGTTAGTGGACAGGATGGAGTCTCTCCGGACAGGATTGTGGTGGAGCGGAAGAGGCCTGGGTGTTGGGGGCACTGGGGGAGGGGTGGCATGTCTCTTGGGGACCGTGGTGTCTAAGGCATGTGGCGCGCCTCACCTCATCCCCAGGGTCCCCGGAATTCGGGGGGGAGAGTTACCTGAGGTGCTGATACTGACAGGGGGGCTTTCCTGCGGCCCGTGGCTAGGATGGGTGGCCACACAGCTGTAGATACCCTCATCCTTATGCCCTACCTCAGGGAGAAGCAGCACAGGGCTGGAGGCAAGGGGCAGGGGTGTACCCTGGTGGGGAAAGAGGGACAGGAAATGGTTAGGAACCCCCGGTCCACACATCCTGGACTGTTGCCTTCATTTCCACAGCCAGTCATTCTGTGTTTTCAGCCCAGCTCTCAGGCCGCCCACTGCCTGTCACCGTTTCCCAGCTCTCAGGCCTTCTGGGCCACTCACATCCTTTATCCAGTGGATCTGAAGAGGGGGCTGGTCAGGGATGACACAGGTCAGAGTCACTTTCCCACCAGGAGCGACTATTCCACCTTCTGGCTCAACCAACAGCTGAATCCCCTCTGGAGGCACGGGCTCTGGGCGGGGATAAGCACTAGTTCCATCCGCAAACCTGAAAGCAGGCCGATGGCCCTGGGATTGACCCCTGCCTCCCACACAGCCAGACTAGGCCCTGCTCACCCCTGACACGGGGCTGGATGGGGGCTGTGTTCAAGGGTCTGTGCCTCGGAAGGCCCAGACTGAAGCCGCATGAGAAGGTAGGATGGGCGGCTCCTCCTGGGGCTGGGGTCACAGTCAGCTCTGACTGCAGTGTGAAGAGCCCTGTCTCAGGGTGTCTCCTGGTCTCTTCCTTCACGATGATCCCTGTAGTGGGTAGGACAAAGCCAAACTCTCAGAAGCTTGAGGAAGAACATCCCGGGAAAGGCAGTTGGGGACAGGGCACACAGGGACTCACCCTTGCCATCAGGAATCAGGGGTTTCCCGTCCAAGTGCCAGCTAAGGGTCCCTGCAGGGTAGCCTCCCTCTGACACACAGGTACCCACCTGGAGGAAAAGATGGAGACCTCACCCTCTGACTCTGTGGACACCATGTAGGCAGGCGCACAGCTGCGTTCAAAGTACCCTCCCTGTTTTGTTTTCCTGTACCTTACTAGGGACGCCAGCTGTGAGTTCAGGGGCAGGATCCACAATTTCTGGCTTCCCAGGAATCTCTACAGGGAAAGTCCAATCAGCAGCTGCCTTTTGAGGGTTCTCACACTCCAGGCATGGGAACCGGGCAGTGGAGATCAGGGTATACCAGGGCCAAGAGTCAAGGGGGTAAAAGAAGGCTTTTTCTTCAATGAAAAGTGACTTAGCCAAGGCTTCGGAACCCTTACCATAGACTCGGACACGGTAGTGGGACTTGATCTCCTTTCCGCGCTTGTTTATTGCCCGACACCGGAAAGTCCCCTCATCCACGATTCCAATAGCTGGAAGGAGGAGGGAACCGTTGGGTAGGATTCGAGCCACGCTGTCCCAGGGTCCTCCCTGGGGAGACAGGACCTTCCAGGCTTCCGTCCGGCCTGTGTTCTGCAAGAGAAGAAAAGCCTAAGTGGTCCAGGCTCTTAGGGGAAGGGCTGACCAGACAGGGAGGGGTTCTGGGGATCTTCAAGGATGACTCCTGGGGTTGAGTGACCAAGCGGGGGCAACACTGCTTACCAGTTTCCATTCTAGCTGCTGGGGTGGCTTCTTAGGGGCTCCCTTACAGCTCAGCACAAGCGGCTCTCCAATTCGGGCTGTGATGTTCTGACCACCAACTACGGCTCCTGGGTGGTAGCATCGTGGTAGAGGGCAGAAGGGGAGAGGTGGAGCTAATGAGTGCAGGGCAGGGTGGGTGAGGGGCTTTGGAAATTTGAGGAAATGTCTAGGGAGAAGGGAGGTCCTGGGGAGATGGGAGGTGGACTGCTAAGGGCAGGGTCATTGGGGCTGGGAGCTGCTCACCCCACAGAACAAGGACCAGCACCCAGGCTCCAGCTGCTGCCTCTGTTGGCATCATGCTTTCTTCGCAGGCTCCTGGTTCTGTCTGCCCGTTCCCCGGCTGTGGCCACTGTCCTAGGTGGAGCTTGCACCCTCTACCCTTCCCCCAGGTCCCGTCACAGAGAATGCCAGGAATTCCTGCCTATGTGACAAGAGTCCTTCAGGTACTAGAAGCAGCAATCTCACCCCACCCCAGGGCACTGCCAGTCTCTGGACACAGCCTCTCCTGGAATAGGGTTGTACACTGCTAAGGGTCTCATTTCCTCTGGCCCCCCATGTCCCATCAGTCCCATACAGAGAGGGCAGATTGCTAGCAACATGGTTCAGCCTGGTCTGTTGTCATCCTGGGATCTTTGTAGTGAAGACAGGACAGAAACCTGTTGTGGTTTTGTAAGAATTGTTCTTTTTTTTTTTGTGGGGGAGGGTCTAGTGTTTGGTTTTTTGTTTTTTTGAAAAAAGAATTCTCAACTAAACCCAGGGAAAAAAGAAATCTCTTTATTTAAAACTGCAGTTTTGTTTTTCTCTGTGAATCTACAAGTTTACAAGTGAGGAGAGAACTGGCCCTGGCCCTGCCTCCCAGCACCCCGTTGTCACTCTCCCTCAGTGCTGCCGGGGTCTTTGATGGGAGAGGTCCCCACTGTGACAGTCTTGAAGATCCTGAGGATGTTCCAGAGGGTCAGAGAGAAGGGCTCAGGGCTGAGACGAGATGGTGTTTATACCTTCCCTCATACTTGGCGTTCTGTGGCCTCCCTTGTCTCCCCACCCCGTTGATTTTGGCATGAGATTTAAAAAAAAATGAGCAGAAACACTTATTTCTGGGAAACTGGGGAGACACTCATGTCAGCACCCAGCCCATAATTGGCGTATTTGGCAAGAGCACCCTCCGCTTTCATTCTCCACTCTGCAAATCGTTTAAAAAGAAAAATTTAAAAAAGCATTGAGTTTAGTCCAGCCTTGCCCAAAGGTTATGGGGGGGGGGGGGGACAGGGGGGTGGGGGGGGGGGGGGGAGACAGGAGGCTAGAGGGGTGGCATGCCCCCCAATACAGCAGAGGTTTGCTTGCACAAGCTGAGAACACCGAAGTGACCAGGGTGAAGACATGGTGTCCTGCAAAATCCACTTGCCCATTGGTAGGCCTGGGGCCAGCAGCCACCACCAGTTGTTTGTTCTGACTGGCCCCTTTGGCTCTTCTCACATGGGTAAACAAAAATAAATCAGTTTATTAAAAAAAAAAAAACCCAAAAAACAAAAAACCACACACCCACACACACACACACACACACCGAAATCCCTACTTCTTCAAACTATTAAAAATTAAGGATCACCACTACCAACAAAAACAATAAGAAAAAAAATACAGATAGATCCCAGGTTTTTTTTTTTTTTTTTGGTGTTTTTTGTTTTTTTTAAAACAAAACTGAAAAAAAAAAAAAAACAAAAAACCAAAAACCAAAAAAACCCAAAAACAACTCCAAAGCCCAGCCAACAATTTTCTAAAGTAGCAGAAACTCCCTCCGAGGTAGATAGCTTGAGTCAGACACTCCTGTCCACCGAGCGATTCTATTGGTTTCAGATGAGCTGCGTATGAGGTAATAAAGCCGTCTGGAGGGGCAGAAGGTGGGGTGCATGGGGGGTGGGGTGTTGGTCCAGGGCCTCTGTCCAGGAGTCCCCATTTTTGGCATCTCTGGGTTGGGCAGGGCTGACATCTCCAGATTCCAGAGTATTTAAGTGGGGTGGGGAACAGAAAGTAGGGAGCCCAGACACAAACGAATAGTTGTATGTTGGTATAGATTTGAGAGAGAGAGAGAGCGAAAGAGAGAGAGAGAGATCTGAGAAACAGATATCTGTTTTCTATGTGAGAGGGAAAAGACAAAAAAGAGAGAAAAAAGGGGGACACCCCACTTTCCCTGCTATGTAGTCAGCACCCCAGCACTGAGTGTCTAGTTGGGGAGGGCACGACCCCATTTCGCCCTGCTCCGTTTTGTGCTTCGGTCGGGGTTTGTCCTTTAGATGCCCAAGTCCTCCTCAAGAGTTGCCTGGTGGGAGCCCCCAGCCCCGTGACCTTGAGGGGCAAGGTCAGTTGGAGGTGTCAGAGTGAACACTTCCCGGGCCCTCTGTTGGGGATGTCACTGAGGATGGGGTCACAGCCTCCTGCCAGCCGCCATTGGCCTGGAAAAGAGAGAATGAAAGTCAGGAAATGGGGAACCCTGTGTGGGGTCCCACTCTGATCCGGGTGAGACACGAAGGCTCTCACCAGGAGACAGGTCCCGTGGGTGACTCACTCACCCGCATTTCCCGTGGACTGTACATCTGGCCTCCCCCGAGGTTATCCCCGTAGCTCCCTGGCCCCATTGAGTGTCGGAGTGATTCCACCTGCAGGGCACAAAGACAGGCTTGACACATGGAAGCCTGAGGCAGGCCTTGTACGCTTGGGGGTGGGGCAGGCATAACGGACTCCACAAAGTTGCCGACCTCAGCACTGGCAGTGGCCCCTGTGCCCGCTGCCCCAAACGTGCTCGCAGCAGAGCCAAGAGAAGAGGGGGGGCTCCTAACCTGGGAGGCAGAGTAGGAATCGCCGTTGAGCCCGGGCATCCCCAGAAACATGTCTCCGGATCCTGAGAGATTGAAAGAGCCGCCAGAGCCTTGGGAGAGCAGAGAGAGAGTCAGAAAAGAGCACAGGGACCGCCTGTGGTAGACAGGAGAGGAACACGACCCTCTGAAAGCTACTGAGTGCACGTGGAGAAGTGTCCCACCCTCAGGTCAGGCTGCTCGGAACCTCCCCTGACCACCCACTAAGGGCCCCTTCCCTTGCCCTCATCACCCCCAAAAGTCCTCCTTGCTGTCTGCATCAAATCAACCAGCTGGAATGGCAGGGGGCTCACCCGCAGAGGAAGGGGGCGTTGGGGAGCTGGTGCGGCTGTGGCCCCCCTGGGCGACTGACACAGCGGTCTTCACAGCATAGATATTTGCCTCCTCTTGGAACTTCCCGATATTTTTCTTGTAGCGAATTCGTTTGTTACCAAACCAGTTGGAAACCTGCAGTGTTGGGCAGAGAGGGTCAGGCAGAACCCCTTTCTCCAGGACCCCCTCCCCAAGAACACCCGAGAACTCTCAGCCCGTTACTCGCCGCCCCGCGCCCGCCCCCAGCAGAGTACCTGAGAGACGGTGATGCCACACTTCTTGGCGAGCTCCTCTTTGGCCTCCTCACTGGGATAAGGGTTACTCAGGTGGGAGTAGAAGTACTCATTCAGGACCTCGGTGGCCTGTTTGCTGAAGTTGCGGCGTTTCCGTCTACAAAGAGAGAGGAGAGATGAGTGCGCCACGGGAGTCCGGGAAGCACCGTCGTCATAGCGTGTCCCCGTCGGGCAACATGGGAGCCCCGCAGCCCTGGAGAGGTATGGGAGGCAGCCGGGTGCTGGGGCCGGGCTCAGGGGTCCCTGAGCCCCACCTGGCGTCCAGGAAGCGAGAACGCAGGATCATGACGGCCTCGCAGGTGCTCTGCTTCAGCTGCATCTGGATGGCACTGAATTTGCGATGTATGATGCTGACCATGCGCTCCATCTCCTTGGGGGCCACGGGGCGAGTGCGGCTCTGCTCCCTCAGCAGGTTCATGACGTGGGTCGTGAACTCATTGCATGCCTGCAGGGGCGGGTGGGCCGGTGAGGGGCCTGTGGCTTGGGGCGGCCTCCAGAGTGCACGTCTCTGGCTCAGGGGGCCTCCTCTCCTCACCTGCTCGTACTTCTCCAGCTCCGAGTGGTAGATGTGTCGGATCTGGGCGAGCTTGCTTCGGTAGTCCGAGTGTTCGATGGAGTTGTCAGGGGACACGCCACCTCCGGCCCTGCGGCTGCGGCTGCAGAGCCGCCCCCCTTCTCTGGTCCAGCCACACCTTCTGCCAGGAGCATGTTGTCCAAGCGCATCAGCTGCGGGTCCACGGGCTCCTCCTCCTGGGAGCTCCGGATGCTAAGGCCTAGCGGGAGGCAAGCGGACACGTGAGGCCCCCAGATCCCCTCACCCAGCGTTCCGGGCTTCGAGAGTCCCTCGAAGGCCCAGGCCTCCAGGCTTCGGTTCCGTCCCCTCTCCTTTCCGAGCAGCCTCCCCGGGTCTCACTTTCCTCACGGCGGCGTCAAACTCTGAGCCCTCAGCGAGCAGAGTGCAGTCCCCAGAGGTGAGAGCCAGAGGGGCGCCCACGTACCGGTTTTCTCCTTGATTTCACACAGGACACTGAACAGAGCAGGCTTCATTCGGTGACAGTTTAGGGCGTGTTTCCTTGGGAGGAAAGGGAGGAGAAGAGTTCAGGGGCCAGGAGAGGAGAGGCTGCCAGGGGACAAGGTGGGGGCATAAAATCTGTGGAGGTGGGAAGTTGGATGGGGGTGGGACGCGGCTGGAGGGGTAGTTCCTGAGGAGAGACCAGCTGCCCTAGCTCCTGGAAGCGGCTGGCCAGGGGAGGCAGAAGATGCAGGCAATGGGGCTAAAGTCACTATGGGCGGGCTGAGGCCAAGGGAAACGGTTCAAGCAAAAAGGTGGAGAGAGGATCGAGAGATGGCTGAAGAAATAAAGGTGACGGGGCAGGTTTTGGAGTCAGGGAAATAGAGGCCGAGATGGAACAGTCAGTACAGGGTGGCCGGGGGCCCAGTGTGGGGTGCCCCCCGACCCGGGAGTTCAGGAGAGTGTGTGAGCCAGGCAGAGGGAAAGGCTGTGAAGACTTCTGGAGGCCCCAACCGCGGTGGAAGGGAGTGTGTGGAGACCCTGGATCCCCAGAGAAAGGGGCGGTGGGCTAGCTGGATAGTTAGCGCAGACGGGTGGGCTGACAGTTTCTGAGTCTGGGAGCCAGGAGAGGGGCCGGTGTGGAGTGTAGGGGTCAGCAAGAGGTTAGGAGAGAGTGAGGCCAGCTAGGGTTCCCTGTGTGAGGTTTAGGGCCTAGGAGCAAAGCCGGCTTGGAGAGACCACCAGA